ATGTCATAAAGGCTTAGTCATGTCTCTTGACCAAGCAATGAGCTGGTGCCCTGACACTAAGGCCCAAAAATAGCCATGGGAATACCGGCCTGACACACCCTGCCAGAGGTGGGGTTGTTCAGCATGGCCATCTTAGCTGCATTGTCCAAGGGCCAAGGATTGTTGGGCACGGAATTGGGGTATTTTGAGAGGAGCCTCAATCAAAGTTTCTCCTGAAATTCATAGTGAAATCCTCGCATGAACATCTGTTGTTGCTTGGTCTTCAAAAGGTATTCCTTCTGAACCAGCCACTGGGATACTCTCAAAAACTGCCATTGGTATTCTCCAAACTGAGCCCTGCTGTTCAGGGAATGGCTGCACTCTTTGAAATGAGTTTTTCCAGGTTGAGTCTTGAATATAGCCAGCTCGAATCCATAGCTCCTGGGTAGAAAGCTAGAATCTGCTTTTGGAACTCATCAAATTTCAGACTTGCTGCTTGACTTTCTTCTGCCATCTCCCATACCTGGCAGACCTCCATGTTGAGGCAATATTTCACCCATGTCTCCAGTGGAACCTTGCAACTTTTGCACAGTTGTTGCACATCATCAAGAAATCTGATGACATGTTCCAGTCAAGCTGAGAGCAGCATTGGAGCATGCTTGCTTGTCCAAAGTGGCATCACCAGATCTGGCATGTTTATAGATAGGCTTTTGAGGGTGCTTTTGATGTCCAAGGGTAGGCTCATCAGTTTGACTTCTTCTGAGATCAATTCTGTAGTTGTAGATGGTGTCTGTCTCAGGCCAGTGGACAAGTCGGATAAGCTTTCTGATGGAGGTGGATTTTTAGAGTGGGCAGGGGCAGACTCCAAGGGCCAAGGTTGTGATTTCTGGTTTTGGAACTGTGCCCTTCTTTGGGTGGTCAGTTTGACAGTTGCTTAGGCAGACCACTCAATCTGCAACTGAATGCCCCAAGTTTTCTCCCCAACCAGAATTTTTTGGAAAAGTCCTACGTCAGTCACCAAATGTACTCTACACCTCCCAATGAGGCATCAGGAGAAGGTCTGCTGGAGGGGGAGTTGACAGTGGTGGCCCATACTTCATAGTAGGTAGCACTAGACAAAACCAGGTCTAATTGAATTGTTGTCTCCTAAAGTAGAGCTGCTCAAATGCCAATCTGAAAGGTCTAGTGTGAACTCCAAAGCTGGATGCAGCAATCTGAAGGGCATCCAAATGAGAGAGAGAAAGGGGAATGAGCCAAATGAGGTGAATGAGAGGTCTTCAAAGGTTGAGAGGTTGAATCGAGGCTCAGATCAGTCTCAGAGGGAGCTAGAGTAAAGAGGACAGTAAGGTAAAGCAGTAGTATTAGTTGTAAGCTAAGAGATCACCCATCTTGAATGAGTGAGGTCAAGTGTCAGGGAGAGAGGAGTCTGAGCATCCCTATCTGAAGTATCCAAATCTGCCTATATACAGTCAGAGCAGTTCAGACCTTTGGACTACTACTAATCTATGTCTAATCTACATTACCTAATGCTATGTCTAGGGTCCACTTCTTGCTTCCAATAGTCCCGCCTGGCCAAGTTCGAGATGTCATTCAAAGAGGTGTTCAAAGGTTGGATTTGAGCTCAAAACTTGAATGTGCAGCACAGGACCTTGCAGATCTTTTGGCTGAAAGTGAATCTGATGATGAGAATTTGGATTAGGTAAGTACCTAATTGTAGATTTGCATTGTGTACATATTAACATGATTTCCAGTCTCTTGTAAGATATTTCGAGCCTGCTTGGCCTGGCTTTTGTTGTTGCCAGGACTAGATATCACTGCTTCATCAGTGCTTCAAGCACCTTATTCCAGCTCTTGTATGCTTTTCAGTGAACAATGACATTTGATTGCTTTTGGTAAGGAATTCTGTGACAGTTTGGTTTGGGGCTTGTAAATGAGTTAATAAAATAGATATGGTTGTCAGCTCCACACAAGGTAATTCACTGCCCTAGGTCATGATTGCCATGACCCGGGGGACTCCTGATAGGACTTAACTTCAGTGCCAATGCACAGTGCAGTGATCACCAGGGGCAAGACTCATGCACTAATGACCCCTCGGTATCATGGAAATTAAGACAAGGTGGCACGACGGTATATACCAGGATGGGGCATTGTAAATATTGGACCCCTTGTTAACTCCGATGGTTTTATGCACTCTCTTGCCCCTTTGTAACCGGAAATGCTGAGGATGAGGTTGCCGACAAAGAAACATGAAACCAATGATATGCATGCCACTGTGCGGCTTGATTTTCTTCCAGTTCACTGGCTCCAAACACGTTCGGTCAACCGAATCCCATTCTGTACAAGACCTATCACAATAAGTCCTACAAAGAACCAAGGCGCAGTGCCGTAAAACATCCAACATGTATCCGGAAACATGGTCATAAAAATGGTGATCTACAAAACCAAGTGTCAAGTGTCTAGTCTGAACCTGTAACGGACCATCATGAATCAGAATACAAGAATAAGCAGCGTGAGCATGAAGAACGTTAACAAACCTCGTGCGTGTGCGTATCAAACCAAGCCAAGGACAACCGTAACCCTCAAGGCTCCCTCGCTCCCCTCCTCCCCCGCCCCCTCCCTCAAACAGCTGCTCTTCCACCCCCAACTCTGGGCAACATCGAACTTATCCGGTGCGCTGCTAAACCTCGTCAGCACCGTGCCGATACTCGAGCAGCACGTGACGGCAAAGTATGCGCGCAGGGTCTGGCGGGGATCGCGGTATGGTGTGACTGGGGCAGAGGGGGGGTAGGATGTCGGTGCTGCTGTGGGCGTGGTAGGTGAAGCGGAGGGGAAGACGAACGCCGCTGTGGGAGACTGGTTCCCGTTTGGGGTCGTTTGGCCTGGCATGGACGGAGTGGGACTCGCGGACCGGCTCAAGGCACTTGCCCTCGCGCTTGTCCCTAGCCTAGGAGTAGATGCGCGGGGGAAGGGGATCGGGCTCGGGGTGGGTGCTCGGCCTGCTGCGCCGGGATGCCATGTTGCTGCCACATGGAGGGGGACGCTTCCTGGAGGTTGGGGTGGCGTGCTAGTTGCGAGCGAATGGGCACTGGCGGCGCTCTCCTCCCTCCTGTGCTGAACACGGGCATGTGCAGGCGGCGCCGAGGCTGGAGGAACGGGGTTGACCATGCTCCATCTCTGGACATACACTCCCAACTGCGTCTCCTTATCCTTCTCCTTCTCCCCCTGCCCAGGACCGGAACCAACATCCTTCTCCTCCTTCTTCCGTTTCACAACTTGGATATAGACGTTAAACAGCGATCCGGCGTAGAATATCGTACGCGAGTGGATCTTGCTTATGCCGGTAGAGGATGAAGAAGGGGGCCGTTTGTCCAGTTTGAGAGAAGCAGCGGAGAAGAACTCGACAGAGAATCGGTAGGGCTCGTACGGCGTCCAGCCAAGACATCGTTCGGGAGGGATCGTACCCGCAGCCGCAGGAGAAGCAGAAGCGATAACCTCGTTTAGCGACCTTCGCTTATTCCCGATGCCGAACCACTGTCTTTCGTCCCAACCCGTTTTGGCCTTGCTCCCCGTCCCAGAGGCGGGAGCAGCCACCCCAGTCACTGAAGCGGCTACGACACCAGCCGGGTTCCAGTCGCCTATCCGCTGTGCATCATCAAGCGGAACAGCGAACCAAGCGTTTTCCTCAGCGTGTTCCTGTGTGAGAGGGATCTCGTCCAACACGCGGACGAGACCTAGTTCTCCGGGCTTGCCATTTGGTACCGGGTGGGTTTGGGAGCCTAGTACGGCGGAGCGGAGCAGTGAGGCTTGCCAGTGCGCGTGTTGGAGGGCTTTGAGCGGTGTGTATGCGCGCCCGGTGTGTGGTGAGATGGAGAGGGAGACGGTCTTGAGGTCGTCGAATGGCTGCACGAGGCGTAAGTATCATATATGGGCGTCAATTTCCCGCCTTGCTTGTCCAATGACCAGAGCGGGGGAGGGGAACGTACCATATGAGTATAGAATATCCCTTCAGTGAAAAGCGTTTCCCACTCGCTCTCTTCCTCCTCTCTCAAGCGTTCTGTCTCTCGCCCGCTTTCTCTCTCCCTCTGGCCCATCGTCTCCCCTTCTCTCGGTTCCTGCCCCTCCCGCACCCGCTGGCGCTCCCACCCCTCTCTCCTTAGATCAACAACCCTCCTCGCTAGGTCCCACCTCCCTACTTCCTCTCTCGTCGTCCAGAACTCGTCAGCACTCAGGAGGTGCCGGACCCAGGTAGCTGGGAGACCTTGATGTGCCCAGATGGGGGGGAATGGCGTGCTCGGCGTAGATGTCGATGTCGAGGGAATGTGGATAGTTGTGGTTAAAGTTGGAGTTGAAGTCGACGTAGCTGAACCAGTCGGGTTCGAGCTCGTAGGGAAGCTCCTAGCAAAAGCCTGCTCTTCTAACAGCACAATCTCCCCTCCCCACCTGCACATCCAAGCCACACATGTCTGACCCAGGAGGTTCGACGGCGTTCCATACCCTGTCAACCTGGGCGTCTCTCCCATCGGAGAAGCAGGCGAGAGAGGACTCGAAGGAACACACGATTTCGACGGGAGGTCATCTTCGCTGTCACTGGCTTGAGATCCCTGTGCTGAGAGGGTAGGACTGGGAGAGGCGCTGGCAGGATCAGGGAAGGGGAACGCGTGTCCGAGTCCTTTGACTCCTTCTTCCTCCCCTTCTCCCTCTCCCAACCCGAGTCCGATCGCGAACCGGAGATATCGGCTTACGGTCCAGGGACTCACGCTTCCCAATAATAAGCGTGATGCTTCGGTAATTAGGTTGGGTATATGCAGGTATGAGGCGGTGGCGAGGAGGGAGAGAAGTAGTCTTGGGATCGGGCTTGGAGCTGGGGGGAGCGGGAAACTGGGGGTGAGCGGGTGGTCGGGGGTTGGGAGGTAGGCAGGAGGGAGGAAGGGGAGCGGGGTAGGGTGATATAAGTGGGATAGACATAACCTGCCACGCGCGTCAGTTTCAGAACTATTAAACGCGGTGGTAATGAACGCACTCAAAAGCTGCCCGAGTGATATTCGGGTCCTCGAACCTCAGTTCTACTTTCCCCCTCCCTTCTAGGGCTTCTCTCCACCCACCTTCGAAGAGCATCTCGAAGAAGCCTGCTTGAAGGAGGACGACGACATGGAGGTTGTACGATGCGCGCCAAGGGTGGAGGACGAGAAGGGTGACGTCGGATGCTCGCCCGGAGAGGAAGGAGGCGTGGAGGTGGTCGAGGAGAGAGGGGGACATTGGTCGTGGTGGAAGGGGAGAGGTGTGAGTGTGAGGCATTGTGAGCTGACAGTAGGGGGTGAGCAGAATGGCACGAGCAGGGAAGGCCCGGTAGAGCGGAAGGTGCAGATGATCGACGATGGCTCTCGTGCCTGCGGCCGAGGTGACCTCGCTCTTCTCTGTATGATGATGAGAGTTCGCTCCTGTCCCGGCTCAAGGGTCTTGGCGTCACTGATCATCAGGTATATCCTCTCCTCATCATCTTATCTCCAACCATAATTAGCAATTCCTCGACCCAGTCCGCAGTTCACACCTCACTCTTCCGGGTAAGCCATCCCGGGACTCGTCACTTGCCCAAGCATAACATCTCAACAACACACACGACCCCCCTTTGCCCTCTCACCCTCAGCCTGACGCGTAAGCGCGCTTCACCGACCCAGACGGCCTTTATGCCGAGAGGCTGTGTCAGGGCTGGTTGATCATCAGCCCGGTGACGTAAGGCTTGGCACGTTCGTATCAAAGGATCTCGGCATAATCCGCGAAGGTCCACGATGTTTGAAATACTGTACTCCTGCGAAACCACTGAAATTATACACTTTGGGTATTATTTTCAACTTTACATCCATAATGAGGATTATTCACGTCACGGTTATCCAAATGAGGGCGTTACGTAATATCAAACTCTACTCCATTTCTAAAGTAGGCTTTCTGTGTGCGTCACTTCCTGCTGTGGGTGAAACCACCACGAGAGCATGTCTCTTGACCCAGCCATCTTCATGGCAGGGGCATGACAGGAAGTGGTGGGAGCCTACGACAGAATTCACAGAGGTAGAGCGGATGGACATGATAGTCCACCAGATGGATGCAGATCGTGATCTTTATCATTACCCTCTCTCGTGATGTACAACTAGTTAGTATCAGAGGGTTTCTGCAACATGATCGTCGCTGTAGCATTTGACGTATATTCGGGCAGGTGGGGGATACGATAGCTCGATCGAGTCTGCGACGAGATCCTTTCTTTCGTGCCACGAGTTCCAGGTGCATTGAGCAGTAATCTCGTTCGTCTGTAATTGACGGATGAGCGCTGGAAGCATGGGGAAGTGCTGCTGCATGAAGGGCTGGAGAGGAGCATAAGAATGGCTAGGGTGGTCCTTCGCATCAAAGACATATCAACTGGTTTTCTCGCGCAAAACAGTGTTCCAAGAAGCTGCCCAGACGGGCCACATCAGGACGGTGATCTTCATCCGGGCCGTGTCGTCCAAGTTCTAGATCAATCAGAACCAGGCCGTCTCCCTCACCCACGAAGTTGTCACGCCTAATATCCTGTCAAAGGCATTACCGATGTCATATCCCAACGCTCAAATCATAGTCGTAAAGCGCACATTGTGGACGACTTGGGCAGCTTCAAGCTGCCGGCCGATCTATGGCGATTCAGTAAGCGGTGCGGAAATACCATGATGAACTGACCTGTAGCACCCGCGACACCGTCTGAACGAGCATCCCCGCTGTGAGAGGATAGAGAGGATACTCTTCTTCTACAGTAAGATCGTTGCGCCAATGTGGCTTTATCGTGGGCATTATATAACAGACACCGGCAGCCGGTTGATTTTCGAATATACACGTAAACTTCTTTAGTTCAATCGGACGTACGATGAGGCAGTCACGATCATACTCCTGCGTCAGAAGTGTAATGCCCGCCAGCTCCATGTCGCATTGAGGTAACGGTATGCAGCGGATGTGAACGTCTTCATTCGTCAATTTCCGCACTGCCCGTATTACTTTGCCAGACTTGTATAAAGTCAGGCTAAACTGAAGCAATACAAATGATGGATCGTACGACTGGATAGCCTGGAGTCCCCACCTGGAGTTCGAATTGGGAGAAATCCAGACGATATTCAGGGAGACAATTCTTTATCTCCAGCCAGAGAAGCTTGTAACGTTCCTCCATGCCAAGAGACATTCTGTTCCACAAGTCTGCCGACCAGGACGGTGCTGATGCGGAGGTCATCATGGTTGGCGCCGCGCAACAGGGAGTTTCGGAGGAACGTCCCAAGGATGAACCCCCCGGGGGTCAATTCCTCAGTGACCCAAGGGCCCGCCCTGAGCAACCGCCTGGGCCATATGAGAAATTCGCTCGACCGACTTGCATCAAATGCCTCAGCATAATCCGCGAAGCTGAGATCGCACGTTTTGAAGCGCTGACATGGTATGCTTCACAAACACTTTCAAACTCTACATCGAAAGTAGGATCATTCACATCACGGTTACCAAATAAAGGCATTACATACTATCACACTCTAGTCCATTTCTAGAATGGGCTTCCTGTGCGCGTCAGTTCCTCTCGTGGCTGAACCCACCGCAAGAGCTTGCATCGAATATCTGCACTAAAAGGGTAAGTCACATGATTATAAACGGAAGAGCCTTGATCACCGACTTTCAAGCGACCCTCATAGACACGACCCTGCAGCGGTCAGTTAGGCCACGGGATGCGAGTGTATTATCGCACAGTAGATCCACGAACAATGCGCACATTGCGAAAGACGGTGCAGATGGACATGACTTGGTGGCAGGAGAGACAAGGGCCGATATAGATATCGCTGAACCCTGATTCGGTCCCTTTCGGGGTCTTGGTCCGCGGACGCCAAGAAAACGCCCAGCTAATCTTGCGCCAGCGATATCTTCCAAGAGTGGACGATGATCATCCACCTCTCAACCTTTCTCTTCTCTCCCTCACCTCCATCCCTCCACTCCCCTCACGAGAGCATATAAGATGACTGTCAACCTCGCAAAAGTTAGCAACCCTGAGCCGGAGATGTCGACCCTACCCAGCCCTAGCCCACCTAGGGAGTCTGCCCTCCAACGGACGTGGAAGTACGTGCTCGAAGAATGCGACCCGGACATGTCGACGGTGCCGCTGAGCTGCTATTGCCTTATGACGGGTTACGTACGTAGTGCCCTGTGAATTGTGCTGATATCGGTTGGTGCTGACCTATAGAGCAGATCGACTCGATTACTTTCAGCGCGTGTTACATTTGGTGCGCTTTCCAGACTGGTGTGTCTGATATGTGCGTACTCGTACCCCAGCTGATCTTTGACCAAAGGGAACACTATTCAACTCTCTCTCGCCATTTCGCGGCTCTTCACTGGTCCCTACCCCCGAGAGCTCGGCTTTCAAGAACCTGACCAGCAAGCACTCTGTTCTCTCCTCACCTTCCTGTTCGGTGCATTCCTAGGCCGTATCGGAGACTGGTGGGGAGCGAAGCGTCGCAGTTGGCTCATAATGGCCTCCCTTATACAAGCTGGATTTACTCTCGCCGCATGCTTGTGTGCCCTTTATGGTGCTCAGAGCAGTTTTGCAGGTCCGAGGGGCTCCCCAACCTGGACCAACCCACTCGGGTTTGCTGCACTTGGGTTTGCGAGCGCAAGCATGGGGCTGCAAGCCCATGTCGGGACACGGTACAGTTACTATCGTATACCAGTATAACGCGCATATATTGACAAATTTCGTAGTCTTGGGTCCCAATTCGCTACTTCCGTCGTCCTGACCACTATCTGGGTGCAGCTTGTTGGCGATCCCAAGCTCTTTTCACCCCACGCGCCCATCAAATCCCGCGATCACAAGGCTCTGGCTATCTTCATGCTCTTCCTTGGCGGACTCATGGGGCGCGCACTGACCGGCACGATCGGAGCCGCAAATACGTTCGCGGTCGGTGCCGCCATGAGGCTGCTGATTGCGGTAAGCTGGTGGTGGGTACCGAAAAAGGCCCCGAAGCCGCAGCCAATTGCTTCTAGTTCATGATTGACGTTTCTAGACATAGACCATGTTATATTTATCCTGTGCGGCAGAGTAGTGTAGAACTGCATATAGTGTCGTTAGACTGATACCGTCACCGGAATGCTTCAATCGCGTGGCCTCTCAGGCCCACCCAACGCCACCATCGACCCTTCAATCATCTTCATCATGTCTGCAGCACAACGTGAGATGTTTTATGAGATGTCACGGGCAAGCAACACAACGGTGCGAACAGGATGTAAGGTTTTGTGCTGATAGCTGATGACCGACGCATACAGGCTATCCGAGCCATCAGCATGCGATACATGACATCTGGGGCATTCATCATGTCCCCATACCTTGACCTCTTTCAGCAGTTCCTTGTCCGATGGAGCGGCGAGTGGCCCCTGCCAAGTTCTTTGATGCTGACAACCTGATGATTGCAGTGGTGAGGATGCCAAGTACTATCGAGCCACCTCGCATGTCGACTGTCCCGAAAGAATACTGCTGCATCAGAACGATCCGACCTTTAGATTACTCACGATAAAGATCGATGTGGAGGGTGTTACCTATATTGTCTGTGAAGCAATGTCAGCCCTCGATGAGCTATTCTGATCACGTACAGTGTCCCTTGCTGACTCGGACCAATGCCTCAGCACATCTCATTCGCCGTGCTTCTGGACCAGGCAATGAGGAAGTCTCTCGTGCTGTGGCTGCAATTACATATTGCTGGGATTCGATGCTGTATACCGAATCCCGCGTTTCGGTCGCATACTCCACAACCTGCTTCAAGGACGGCGTATCAAGGGGCCTACCAGACGATGTACTCCTCCGCCTCGCTGGCACCTCGACACCTGGTCAATGGTCAGAGGAAGATACCCCATGCAAGCTGGCTGATAGAGAATGCCGGCTGGGTCTGGCTGAAGAGAGAAAAAAGGGAGAAGCAGTAAGGAAGAAATTGATAGGGGTCTGCCTTAGACCTGCCGAGACCCTTGCCCTAATAAGGGCGGGGCAGCGTACAAGGCGCAGTGCCCACGTCGCGTCGCACATTCCCCTCGCATATATACATCCCCTCCATAATGTCGACCATGAAGCAGCAATCCCTTCAAGAGTTGCAGACAGCTTCTCTCCTTGCCGTCCTCAACTTGAATGAAGAGCCTGTTGCGTCTAGCTCGGGCGAGAAGAGCGCTCCGTCAGGACCGACAGTTTGGAAGGTCTTGGTACTCGATGATCATAGCAAAGATGTTCTTGCGACGGTACTGCGAGTACAGGATCTTAGAGAGGTTGGAGTGACGTTGCATGTGTGAGTTCCCATTCATTCTACAGGCACACACCACCATTGACAGCGTGTTATCAGTCAACTCCATTCCCAAAGACCTGTCATTGCTGACGTACCTGCGATGTACCTTGTCGCTCCCACGCTCACCAACGTCCAAAGGATAGCACAAGACCTCACCGACACATTATACGAATCCTTTTATATATCGTTTTTATCCCCTCTCCCAAGATCGACACTGGAGGAACTTGCTTCCCTCGTAGCACGAGACGGCACATCAGAGCTCGTTCAACAGGTGTTGGACCAATACCTCGACTTCATTTGCCCATCACCGTCGTTGTTCTCCCTTCTCCCCATGACTCTTCCCTCCCAAGGAAATCAGCTCTCGGCACCTGCACAGACCAACGGTGCAGGTGCACACGCCTCGGCTCCTTCAACCTACGCGCTCCTCAACTCCCCTGCAACATCCGAGCAAACACTAGAGGCTCTCACAGACCACATTGCCTCCGGTCTGTTCTCTGTGCTGGCGACTATGGGTGTGGTACCGTATATTCGCTGTCCGAGGGGAAACGCTGCCGAGATGGTATCCAGGAAACTGGAGACGAAGATACGGGATAGTATCGCCGGTGCTGGACTGGGTGGTAGGGGAGGAGTGTTCGGGAGAACAGACGTAGGGGTCATGCAGAGACCTTGTAAGTCATCACATGGACCTTTACAGCGAGACTAGTGGCTGACTTGGGTATAGTGATGGTCATCCTTGATCGTAACGTCGATCTCATCTCTATGCTTTCCCATTCATGGACGTACCAATCCCTTGTTCACGACGTCCTCGAGATGAACCTCAACCGCGTCACCGTTTCTACCCCGGATCACGGCAAGATGCAGAAGAAGTCGTACAATTTTGATCGGTCAGATTTCTTCTGGGAGAAGAATGCCGGAAACCCATTCCCGCAGGTTGCGGAGGATATCGACATAGAGCTGAATCGGTAACCTTCTTTGATAATGCCTAAGTACTCGGCTCACCTAGCATATAGATACAAACAAGACGCTGCCGAGCTCACTCGAATAACAGGGGTCTCTAATATGGACGATGTGTCGCAAATGGACCTTGCGAACAATACAGCTCACCTGAAGGAGGCGGTAACACAGCTCCCGGAGCTGACTGCCCGCAAGGCAACATTAGACACGCACATGAACATTGCCACTGCACTATTGCAAGCTATCAAGTCACGAGCATTGGATGAGTACTTCCAAGCGGAGGAAAATGTGACACGACAGGTGCGTCTTACCTATGCGTTCCAGCATGCCTCGACGGCTAACTTCATATCAGTCTATGGGAGCCATCTTGGAGATGCTCAGAATGCAAAAAGAAGGCGTTCAACCGACGAACGAGGACAAGCTCCGACTTGCTCTCATCTTCTATCTCAGCTCACGGGAAGATGACAAAGTCGACCTGGGAGAACTGGAGAAGGAGCTCAAGAAACAAAGTTGCGATATTTCGGCTATGGAGTATGTCAAAAAGTACGTGCCAGGAAGTTTGCTTCCCATGACAGTCTCACTGATTATGGACAGAATCCGCGAGATCTCACGCATGACCAACCTTGCCGCTGCCGCACCTGCCGCCCAACCGTCGAACACGACAAATGAGCTGTTCCGAGGCTTTTCTTCTCTCTCAAATCGCTTAACCGATCGATTGAAAGAGGGCGGGCTGGCCGGCGTGCCAGGGTTCGACAACCTCCTTTCAGGTGTCAAGAACTTCTTACCGGCGCGCAAAGACTTTGCTACAACACGCCTAGTCGAAGCGCTCATGGATCCCGCCACAGCGTCAACACAAGCGCTGCAGGATACGGACGACTTCCTATTCCTTGATCCACGTGCGCGAGTCTCCGCCATGGGTGCTGGAAGAGGCGGGAAACGAATGGCAAGTCAGGAGGGTATCGTATTTGTCGTCGGTGGAGGGGGATATGTCGAGTTCGGTAACCTGATGGAGTGGGCAGGGAGAAGCGGACGCAAGGTTACCTACGGGGCTACAGAGCTTGTAAGACCGGGCGACCTTGTCAAAGTGCTGGCGGAGCTTGGGTCTCAACAGCATTAATTACCACGCATGTTCTCGGAGTCCAGGCTCACTCGCGATTGACTGTTTGCCCTTGTGTCAAAGTTTGGAATCACATATTCTACTGCACTATCTGCCAGACATTCAACTTCCTTAAAAGTCATCAGTTTCTAGATCGACCGTAAACCTTCGAACTCCTGAAAAAATGGGTTCGAGGGAACGCCAGCCTCATGCACCTTCTTTTCAACATGGTTTGATTCGTTGCCGTCCTCAGGGAACATTCGCGGCCGATATATGCCTCCCCCTAATAGCTACTCATTTTCCACCAGGGAGCCAAGATGTAGTCGGATGCGTAGCCAGCCCTTGAGACAGGTCGAATGCCGGATACCGGAGGTGGGGTGGGCAATGGAGTGTTGGGATGGTTCCTACATATGTGAGACCGATGTAGACATGGGGGAAGTCAACACCTACTCAAACTCGGGCTGAGACCGGATGCCTGGCAGGAAAGGGTGGAGGCTATGTCTGAAGCGGAATACTCCGGCGTTGATAAACAGCGTCTCCAATTCCGGGAACAAGCACTGAATGGCTTTCGCTGTCTCCTTGTGATCCCCGATTTTGAACCCACTTTTAAGGTGAAGTTCTTTCAGTCCTGAGTTGGTCATGGGACGCAGCCCGAAAGTAAGGCCGGCGCGGCAATTTTCAAACTTGACAGGAAGACGGAGTGTATGCAAGGACGTGCAATTCTCTACGAATGCAGTCAAAGCACAAGGGGTTATATCAAAATCGTTGGTTGAAGTGATGTGCAAGGAAAAGACCTGTAGTTTCTTCCAGCTTTGCGTCAGCCGAAGAAGGAAAGAATCGTTTGAAGTCGCAACATTGGGCAGCTCAAGTTTAAGGTAGCGTAGACCAGCAAACCGTGTCAAAGGTTGATATGCCTCCCAGTTGAAGTCGTGCCGCGGCCGTGATCTGTAAGAGTAAGGTGGAGGTGAACGAGGGACATCGAGGATCGCTCAGCAAGCATCAAGACGAGCTCATGGACATGGTTGGCTGGGCACTCCACTTCCACTTCGAAGAGCTGCTGGGCCGGAATGTACGCCAGAAGGTCACGGGACACGGCAGATGAGAATGCTTGCGTTGTGGGAAGCCATTTCAACTTCAGAAAAGACAAGGATGGGAACATCGGGGCGTGGGCATCATGAGCGGGTAAGGAGACCTGCGGCGGCCCCATTAGATGCGATAGATGTTGCAGTTCGCCTAGAGCATGTGTCATCTCATACGAGAGGCTATCAAAGCCTTTTAACAGCAGTATTCGCAGCCCGGATAGCCGTCTGCCAGGGCAATGAGCGAGCGAGTCAACGATGGTGTCGCAGCTTTCAGCAGCAAAAGGGCCAGAAAGGAAAATGAGAACATGCGTATGTTGGTGGTATTTTTGATGTTCTTGAGAAGGGCGAGAATAACTGAAAGTGCTCGTGAGATGTGATCAGGACGAGGACAGCAATGTACAGCCAGCTCCTGGAGGTCGACGAGTTCCAATAGGGGCATGCATTCCATAGGGAAAGCAGTGGAATGGCTGAAGACAAGGTACAGTGAACGTAGCTTGGGAAATACGATATGGGTGGAATCAAAGAACCGAAGCACTGGCAACCAGTATTGAGCTTTGAGAGTCCTGCGGATGGAAAGGAAGGCATCGGTGATCCGAAGGTCGCGAATGTGGGAGGAGTATCCCCGGAACCTCACTTGTTCGTCCGCTGATAGCTGGCGCAGCAGAATCTTTCGATGCTTCGGTCTCACGGAAAGCAGATCTTCCGGGAGAATACAGCAAAGTGCTTCATTGTTGACAGTGTGCCACAGGGATTTGCATAGAAGGAACCACATAGCACGAGAAGTTATCGCAAAGTGGAATTTGTCGGCGTTGGAGTGAAGGTTGCTCGCGATCTCGTGCACCAGTTCGGTAAGGAGAAAGATACGATGGGTGGGCTTGGGTCGAGACATCGTCGAAGCAAGAATTCCAGGCCTTGCCGCTGGCAAATATTCTATGACACGCGCACTTTCGAGAGTCAAGGTGAATATAGGAAGATACTGGAAGGAAATGAACGAGAAACGCCAACTTGAGACGCGTCGGTCAGGACCAAGACGCGTTCGACGTGTCGGGCCCAAAACAGGATTTATGAGCGAGGGGTCTTATCACCGAAAGCCCATAACGCCGCTAATGTGCTTTGCTCTGTGTATGCAAATGGACAGAGACCTTTTACAGGCAGCTGAGCGGAGGTGACTATACTGATCTTCATATAGTGAGGGCTGACGTGGCCGACGAAACCTTCCGACGTCCAAAATCTGCCTTGATGCCCGAACCAAACCCAATTATCTAACCCCTCCTAACAGCAGCGTTACGCACATATGGTACAAATTTCGATTCTCTCATCTATCATTGCCCGAAGATGCCCACATGAGCGATACAGTCAGGATCCCGATACATGACGTCTATTACTTTTTGGTCGATGTGGCGTTGAAACACAACCGACATCTCCCTTCTTCCCCATGCAGAGTATGATACAGTGATTCGTAAATTTGGGCATGAGGCGTATTAGGAGGTGATACACGCAGTGTCGGCGCTGCTGTGGATCGTAGATGAAGAATGAAAGCCCGGGGAGAGAGATAGAAACCGGAGCAATAGAGAGACTAAGGGGCGGAGACCGAAGACCGAAACGCACGGGCATAACGGGCATGTTAGAAATCCATCTGCCGATTAGTTAGAAATCCGTCTGTATAGACCTAGCGCGGGGCCTTCCCGCTCCGGCGCGTCGTCTGCCCAATCATCGGTGTTCATCCATACACGCTGCCTGTGCATGAATTTGGGAACCACGCCTTCCCGGCCTTGGGAAGGCTTGATCTCGACTTTGGCCGCATGCATGACCTGAACAAGTTTGGCCAGGTTCCAGGAAGACTCCTGCCCTTCGACTTGGCAGCCAATCTTGCCCCAGATATCACGTGACGTAGCAGTGCTACGGGACGTGTAAATGCACATCCCACCCACGATGCTTTCTGTTGTGCTTGTGCGCGGTTCGCCTCGCGAGCGGAGGGAGATAGACACTTGCCGTACAAGGTGAATCGCCACGTCCAGCTGGTGCAGGTCGTACTGTGCCTGTGAGGACGCGTTCGCTGGAATCTCAAGGTGGATGTGGAACGATAGAGGCGGGTAACCGGAGAAAAAGCAGCTGGGCAGGCGGAGTTCAGCAGTAAGCGGTGTAGCTTGCACAGTAGCGGAGGCATTCTTTGGCCAGTGCGGCTTGAGTGGAATCGTTGCCCAGTTGGTCATGTCGATAAACTCGCGCTTAGCATCGTTCGGTGTCAAACCCCAGGAGAGCGGGAGCACCTTGACCGCACGAGTCCTGGGCAGGTAGAGGATATCGGGCTCGATGCGCTCGTGCCTTCCCAAACCGCGACGAGACACGTCGACGGTTATACGATAGTAGATCTCAGCGACTAGCTGCGGATGGAACCATTTGCCAGACGGAGGGAGCAGGTAGTGTTCCCCGTCCACTTCGACCGTCTCGGGCAGGTCGAAAGAGAAGTGAAACGACGCATCCTGGTCTAGGTCTGCGCCTTGTGCGCTGGGGAACAGGTCTCGGGAGACGGAGAAAAGCACGCGCTCTTCGTGTCCTGCTGGAAGACCGCGTTCAGACACGAGCTGCATAAGGGTTCCTTCGACCTTGATTGCCACCCGCGTGACCTTTGAGGTCCTGGAAGGAAAGTACACTCGGCCCTCGACGGGGTCGTTCTTTCCGTAGACTGGGCAAGGTGTCTCATGTACACGCTCACCAAGGTCGACCTTCACCTTTCCTGAACCGAATACCCAGCGATGGCGGGGTTTTGACGGACCTAGTTCACGTGACCGAGCAGTGTAGAGCGGGGGAAGGGAATCAGGCGAGTATGGAGGGAGGACCTCGAGTTCGGGTGTGGACATCTTGCGCACGTGAGTGGAGTGGGGATGCTGGGAAGAAGTGGAAGGTTCAGGCGAGTAGGAGGGTGGAGCAGCAAGACCTGCGTTGGAGGAGTGGGGGATGCGCGCGCGATCTCGCGTCACCGCGTAGTATGTTGGGTTCTGACTGGGCATGCGTTGTTGGATGGGAGAGACGCGTTGGGGTGAAAACTTACAGATGGGATGTGACTGGAAGCGGTTTATAGCCCTCCCAGAATAGACTTGTCAGGCTCTGTAGACCGAGGGCGGTCAGCAGCGGCGCGGGTTGGGCAGCTGATGCGGTGCGAGTCACTTTGGGACGCAGCAGAAAATTGCCGCCCGTGGGATCTGAAAGCCTATTGGCACGGCCTTCGGCCAAGAATAGTCCGGCTTGACAGTGGTTACTCGAGACGAGTCACAATTAATCCTGTGACACAGGTGGCGGTGAACCAATAATCGTTGATTAAGATCGAACCCTGACACACTGCGGCCCAGCACACGCACAGTTGACGGAGGAATCGGGAGTATGGGATCCCGATCGGCCGTACCTGTTTATGGTCCTGAGCCAGGGTGGCGGTTCGAATCAAATTTCAGATGCAGATGATATGGATGCCTTCTCCGCCGGAAAGTGATGTGCGACACAGCGAGGCTGGCAAACAGAGGTGGGCGGCTCCTGAGGGTGAAGGGCGTAATATGGGTACTGGAAATCCCCTGATATATACGGGTCAAACCGAGTCTGCCGCCCGCTGCGGAAGCACGATGTGGAATATAGAGCGCTTGTGCAATGTCAAAGTCCATGCATTATGTGAGCAGAAGTCCCCTCCAGCGATTACCAAGCAACATCAAAACCTTGCCCGTTCTAGGCTCTCCAGACGCAGAACTCGTGATTCCTTGATCACCGGTCGGAATCAGCTGGATTGTTGTCAGCAGATCCGTTGATTAGATGGCACAGATCGTGGTACTGGTCAGCTGATCGTCCTTGATTGGGCAGGGACCCGCTGCAGTGGTAATCTCCATCAAAATCGCATTGGCGAAATCTTGACGCAATTCCTCTGTTTTCCACCCTTTCCCCGTCGGCCCGTTCGGCATGCCACAAACAGTCGAGTCACCCTGAGCCACGTACTGCTAGGGGGGACCGTTAGGGTACACCCACAGTCTTGGCAGTGGCATTCGGAACCGATCCTTCAATATCCACCGGAATGAAAATTTGGAGGGACCACATTCACCTGTACCGCTCGTTCCGTCCTTTGTATTGGGTGGAGCGATCATGCTGAGTGAGCATGGGTGGCCTCTCAGTAATTAATATCATTGTTGGCACGTTTCTGACTGTTCCGCGCACGTGAAACTCGCTTCCACCACGTTGTGGAGGTGAGGGTCTGAGGTGACTGTTTTGTGAACGTGCACAATAATAATTGTGAGGGAGCTCTCCGTGCTTGATGATGCCAAGCAACTGCACAGTAGGAAACATGAGAATGCCGGGAGAAATCTTCTGAGGACTGAGCACCCAAAGAATCACAGGGCAAGACGGGCGATTGCGTTTCGAATACAACCTTTGTAGATGACAAGGAATCGGTCGTTGTTGCTCGCGTGGGACATGATTTATCCATGACCCTGACAATACATCGAAACTAGTGTAAAGTGGTACATCATCAGCTTCAGGCAGAATCCTCAGCCAATCTTACACCTCAGGAGATACCGCAACCGGATCTGATGGGGCTGATAAACGATGTACTGTATGGGCGTCAGCGCCTCGTTCAATGCACTAAAAGGATCCTTCATACCTCATTGTAGTGAAGAAAAACGGTGGCTAAGTTGAGGTCTTTCCCAGGTCCGCCAGGCATAACCGTGCCGTTGAGCTCATCCCACCCGGTATTAGCACCAGCGTCAACCCATACATCGGGAGCCATGCGACCTAGCCCCTTTGTCGCTCTGTGATCTAATTCAGTTATCTGCGAGCGGGGAGGACAAAATGATCTTACAAGCCCTTCGCTGCGGCGCATTTGTCCTCAGCATTATAGTCCGCGTGGGTGAGCTCCAAGAAGGGTTTCGCGGCAACTTCACAAAGCAGCAAGAGGCCGGTTCTGTCGGAGAGATACGAGTGGCAGTAACCAGCAGACTTGGACATCATATCTGCGAAGTAGACACCCTTGCCGAACATGTACCCCGAGACTGGTGCTTCGGGCGGCGCGATCCGCAAACCCTGCTTGAGGATACCGCCAAAGTTGGTCGCGCGAGATCCTGCTTTACGTTAAAGGTTGTGACATGCTCAAGACAAAGGTCTTACCGTGCCACAGCAACATCTTGTCCCCATCGGCCAGCTTATCCCAGCCAGCAGCCTCCCAGGCCTCCTTCTCACCATGCCTCTCGACACGGAACACATCCACAACCTCAGCGCCGAAGTGATGCGTGGTACCATGAGTTTCTCTTGCGTACTTGGCAACAGCTTCGAATTCCGTGCTGTCCTTTGTGAGAGGGGCGATGTTCTTCAACTCGAGCGAAGCAAGCTGCGCGTCGAGCGGATGTATAAGAGTACCGTCCTCGGTCTGCGAAATCGAGTCCGAGAGCAGTTTTGAGGCGACCTCCATATCACCAAGTGCGTCGATGAGATCCAATTCCTGTAAGAAATCAGCAAAGTACGGGAACAGCGTTCCGACAGCGACGTACTCTCTGCAAGAGAACTTGGTTATCGATGATGGTCGGCGGATTTCTCCCAAATACATGCGGGATATATGTGTAGTATTGGTTGCTGTATTGTGCGCAAGCATTTCTAAGGCCCCCACTGTTGAGCACCTCCTGTGAAGTAGGGTTCGCGATCGCCTCGCTGATTTTCTTGAGCTCTCCGAATCCTTTCAGCAAGGTAGCCTTTGACATCTTTCCCAGCGGCGCCTTGTTCTGATCATAGGAGAAAGAGGACAGGGTCGCATTCATGTACGAGGTGTTGAAGATGAGTTTCATGAGATTTTGCAGCTCGACGTGGATAGCGCTATCGGGAATCTTCACTTCCTGCTTGGTAACTTTCTTCCCCTTCGTCTTGTCGTCGGCTTTCTCCTCTTCCTCTTCCTGTGCTTCAAAATCACGCTCTGCAGATACTGTTTCAGCACATTGCGCGAAATTGACACGCATATATGACACTCACCGACGAAGCCATACTTCTCTGTGTTAAGATGCTACCATCAGCCATATGTAGAGGGTACCGGGACCCATTGTAGACTCACCCTGCTTGGCAGTGAATGTCTTCCTACTCTCCCAAGCAAACCCTGTTTTGCTCCTGAACTGCTTCTTGAACTCTACGACGGCAAGAGCTGGGGGATACGGTCCCTTGTCTTGCGCGGCGCCCTTCTCGCCCACTCTGCCCCAGCGGGTGTGCAAGAGGATCGTGCTGGTATTGGTCACTGGGTGAAGGAGCTGGAGGGAGTAGAACTTGTTCGCATTCACACCGATGTTGGTCTGCATGAGCATGCCGTCGTATACTTCGTCAGCTCCATCGACGTAGACTTGATGGGTGTCTAAACATCCGTTAGGGAGGAACAACATAAGTCAGGTAGGAACACGTACTGACGTAGGACGACTCGGGGTCAACAGGTGCCTTTCCCCGCTTGACGACAGTCTTCATTTTTGCCGGGGGTTCATTCGCCTTGGGCTCGGTACCTGGGCTACGGATCAGTCATACAGACATACGAGTCATCCAACGTACCATCATCAACATCGCCTACATTGTCCTTTGCATCATCCTTGGCACCTTCATCATCCTCAGCCACATCAGGTTTTGCTGCCTGCTTCTCCTTTACCTTCCCCTTCCCTTTCGCCTTCGCCTTGCCTTTTGGCTTCCCATCATCATCCTTCACTACCCCGTCCGCCGCACCGTCCATAGCCACATCGTCGTTGTCTGTGGTCTTCACGGGAATAGTTTTGACGACGTCCACCTTAGCTGTCTTCTTTGCAGCACCACGGGATTTCTTCGCAGGGGGGGCCTTCACGTCGTCATCGTCCTCCTTCGCGTCGTCCAGCGCGTGTTTGTCCCCCGTTTGGGACGTACTCGTCGTCCCATCCCTGTTACTAGTAGCAGTGCTCGAACGCGTCGTGCGTGTACTAGGCGCGGGGGCAGCGGTAGCTTTGCGGGCCATATTGAAGGGTGAGGGAAAAGGACGGAGTATGACTACGACGCCTAATAAGTCTCACAAAGAGAGAATGTACGGACACAGTGACTGTTCAATGACACAGGTTGTTGACCTGGAGACACGAACCAGTCAGGGCCCGTTGAACGCAGAATGTGTCACAGCGGTTGTCATCGCCGTTCGGCACGGCAGGCGCCCTCTTGGCTCTTCTACCTCTAATGCCTAAATTTCCGAATGCGTCTGTGTGCAGACCAGGACGTCTGACGCGACCAGCGCGATTTCTTTTCAGGTTCCCTTTTTCACGAAAGGGTAGGCTGGTCGGGTAATCACTGACATGCTTTGTCTTGTTGAACGGCTGCAAGCCCATGAGGTTCTAGTCATTTCTAGGAAACGCGATTCAAACAATTTGTCGACATGGAGCTTGAGGATGTCGACTTCTGGCATTGCTCATTACAGTTTTCATTTCAAACCGAGGCCTGTACAGTCTGTCCCCTAGCCCCTTCATCGGCAGCTCAAATTCTCAGAGCGCCTGAGATCTCCCCGAATCCACCTATCCCATCTCAACACATTCTCGCCCTCTTCGACCACTGCACACTCTCAGCCGTATGCGTCGCCTGGGATCATGTCATTCAGCGTCATCCAATTGCGTTCTCCACAACGGTGGAATCATGTACTCTCGGATGGTGATTGTTGCTTGGAAGGGACGCATCCTGGATATTTCGGACGGAGAAGGCAATGGTGTGTTTGGATACTTCCTAACATCCTTGTTAGGAGCGAGATTCAACACAACATGTCAGCATTTGGTGGACTGGAGGTCCTGGGACCGTCCAGGACCGGACCATCACAGGACTGGACCGGGACCGACTATCGTCAAAAATCCGGGACCGGCCCAGACTGGACGGGACCGTTGCCATCCCGAGGTGATGCGCGGCGAACGCAACTTCTGAAACAGGACATCACAATGATCGAAGCACTGAAGAGCTGGCAACCAATACTGAACATCCTGAGAGTGAGTGGAGGTGTTATCAGTCAGTTGTAGCATCCGAATGTGAGACGCGTAATCCATGAACCTCGTTAGTTCGTCCTTCGATAACTCGCGCACCAAAAGCGTTCGACGATTCTGTCGTACCGACACCACGTCTTGCGGTACGATATATCAGAGAGACTTTTCGTTGAGAGTGTGCCACAATATGTCGACAAGAATGGCCCATACATCGTGGCAGGTACGAGCGAAGCTATATTTGTCGCGCCGGAAGCCCAAGTGGCTCACGATCTCGTGAACGAGTTCAGGAATGGTAAAGATGCGATGGGTACGCTTGACGGCCATAGACAGCATGGAACTACGCATCGATGGTTAGTGATGGGAGACAGTGATATGCGTACGGCGGAGTGGATTCGCAGGATGTATGCTGGGAACGAATAAAACGCGTCGGGTCAAGATCAAAACGCGTCTGACGGTTAGACAGGTTCTTCTTATCCCCGAACGCTTCAAGTCTTTGTAAACGCCGATGGCGCCCTTGCCGTCGGCACTTTATCATGCGCGTCCCTCTTGTTGCGTTGATCACAACCCAAAACGAGGAGAATGATGAGTATCTGAACAGCTGCCGTTTGGTCCACTCGGAGTTCTTATCTCTCCGACAACCTGTCCGCGATGTCACTACATCGCAATCTGAGGCAAGCCGGCTCGCGCTTCCAACGGGAAACACGAATCTATCGACCTCCGCAAGCCAATCGCCAATTTTCGACTTTCTTTCCAAGAGCAAAGCAGTATGGACCTCATGTTGTTGGTTATGGTTCCTCTCAAAAGGGAGGTGGTGGAAATAAGCGCGGGGCAATGAGCGACTGGAGAGTTCAGCTTGGACTAGTTGCCGGCGCGGGTGGCGGGGTATACTACGTCTCTCAGTAAGCTATATGCGCATATATGTGCGTCAATCTACCACTAAACGCTTTGTAGTCTCGAAGAAGTTCCTCAGACCGGCAGATACCGGTTCATGGATCTCTCTCCGGAAGCCGAAGCAGAATACGCGGCCGAGTCATTCAGGGAGATCATGAATGAAGTGGGGCCCAAGTTATTACCTTCCAACCATCCGATAGTGCGGTACTGTCAAGCCATCGCAGCGCGCATCGTTTCCTCCGCTGGGCTCGGACACGTCGTGCCTGGGAGCACACACGGAGTACAGAAGAGGCGACGCGGTTGGGGTCTGAGCGGCCTGGACGAGGGAGAGACAGGCTTTGGTAACCAGATGACGGACGAGAGCACATGGGAAATCTTTGTCATTAATGATCCAGACACGCCGAATGCGTTTGTGTTGTCCGGTGAGTCGCTTCAGCTCCCGAGATGAACCCTGCGCTGATGACACGTAGGGAAGAAGATATTCGTTTTTACGGGGATTCTTCCTATTGCCGGTGATGATGCGGGATTGGCAACAATTCTTGGACACGGTACGTTTCCTTGTTCTGCGCTCAAATTATACCGTTCACGATACGCGCAGAAATCGCCCATCAAGTCGTGCGACACGGCGCTGAACGCCTTTCTCAGGTCAAAGTGCTAATGGCGCTAGGGTACTTTTTTGACTTCGTTATGGGTGTTGACATTGGTATCACACGAATTGGCCTAAACCTGTTTCTCACGTGCGTTGCTTGATAACATGACACTCGAAAGCGACTGAACTCATTCATACAGATTGCCCAATTCGCGAGCCCAGGAAAGTGAGGCAGATCGGATTGGCCTGCGCCTTATGGCACAGGCGTGCTTCGATCCCCGAGAAGCACCTCAGTCCGTGCTTATCCCTTTGATTTCCGTGCCAGCCTAATACCGTGCACAGAGTGTGGGTCCGCATGACGGAAATGGAGAACAAGAAACGACTGGGTTGGCTCGGCGCTATAGACTTTATAAGCACTCATCCTAGTAGTTCGAAGCGCATTAAGGTGCTTCATTTGCGCCCAACATAGTGTTTAATTGGCTAACAACCTTTGTTCACATAGAAACTCGAAGCGTGGACTGCCGAAGCCCTGGACGTCCGAGCTGCTTCCTCATGCCCCGACGAATTGAGCAATCGTTTCGAAGCGTTCAAGGATGACGTCGCGAACCGTCTCTCGGAACCGTTCGCTGGAACTCCAACTCGGAGTCCTTCGCAGGGGATAGAACCGATGGAAGATGGCCGACCCCAGGATAGCTTCCGCGACCCGTACGCTGAGAGGTCTCGTATACCCGGCATGCTACCGCCGCCGAGACCGTTACCCCAGCGTGAGACGCTTGAGGACAGAACAAAACCTCTAAATGAGGTGGACCCAGTTGACGAACAGTGGCTGAAATGGCTGAGAGGAAGGAAGTCTTCGTGATGTACCTGTTTTGGGTTGTCACTTTATTACGACGTGCGCATTTACTTGATTAGAGTACAATTAGTTTCTATAACGCCTCCTACACAAAAATCACACCGATGTATTTTAAGGCACTCGACGTTACTAAATGAAGCAGAGTTGGTGCTATAGCAGAAGCGTTCAACGCCTTGGGAAATCACATGAATGCATGCTTCTTGGCAGCCTGCAACAAAGCCGATCGAGGGGTACTTCGTAATGATGAGCTTTTCCGCTTGGTCGTTAACGTTGACCAACACCTGTTTGCTCTCAAAAGTTCAACAAACTCGAGCTGATCCTCATGCCTCGTATTCTCAAGGTGGCGGCAGCTCAGGTCGGGCCTGTGCATCTAACGTCAACGAAAGAAGAGACACTCAAACGTCTCCTCACATTGTTCTACGCTGCAGCAGCACAATGCGCCCAGATCGTTGTCTTCCCCGAATTGACACACACTACCTTTTTCCCACGACATCTATTTTCAGACGGATTGGAGTTGGACAAGTTCTTCGAGGCGGGAGATATTGCGGAGTCGACGTTGTTGAAACCTTTATTCGATACCGCTCGAGAGAAAAAGGTTGACTTCTACCTCGGATACGGGGAACTCACTCCTGAAGGAAAACATTACAACTCGTCATTTTACTACTCTGTTACCCTTGGGCAAATCATCTCTCGCTATCGCAAAGTCCATCTTCCTGGCACTTTCGAGCCCTTCACTACTCCCGATGCGGTGAACCAGCTGGAGAAGCGCTATTTCCTACCAGGCGACATACCATTCAAAGCCTTCCGAGTTCCGGGCCTGATCGATGCCGCCCTGAAAAGAGGAAATACAATCGGTGGGCCTACGGCAGGAAAGGGCGATCCCATTATTGGTCAGCTCATATGCAACGATCGGCGATGGGCCGAACCTTGGCGAGTGTATGGACTGCAGGGGATGGAGCTGATGCTTGTTGGGTACAATACGACCTCTCATTCACCGGGACTGTGGGGAAGTAGCAAGCCGATGACGCTTGAGGAGGAATACAAGGAGGTCATGTTTCACCATACGCTCGTGATGCAGTACAACAGCTATAGCAACTCGTGCTTTAGTGTCTGTGCGGCGAGGGCTGGGGCCGACGATGGAAAGTGGGGTATGATCGGAGGAAGCTGTATCGTCGATCCTCAGGGTCATATTATTGCTGAAGCCAAGACCGATGATGATGAAGTCATTGTTACCGAAATTGACTTGAAATATTGTCGTCAGGGCAAGGAGAAGAACTCTTTCGATTCGAGCCAGACTATGCGTATTGATCAAGGTGAATGATAGATCTTTGATTTCGACCGACATCGTCGCACGGAGCATTACGCTCTGATAGCTGAACAGACAGGAGTTAAGGAACCCGACTTGTTGGAGTAACCGATGAGGGGGACAACCAAGATCACCGAAGAACGAATGCCTTAGACTAGGCCCTGATTACAAGATCTGCAATGTATACAATACAAATGATGAACAAAAATACCATGAGGTCGTGAATATAACCCGCGTTTTCTTCACACAGCCATTTCTGTCCCAAGCTCGAGCAAACACGCGCATGCCAACTGTCTTGCATCGGCCAGAATCGGATCCATTGGAGAGTCTTTGGACGGCGTATTTGACAGCGCAGAGTCAGGGGCGACCCATGCAATCGGACCAGCGTGGCTGCTTGCTGCGATCCGACAAAGAAGTCCATACAGCACGTAAATATGTGCACGACTCGAGCGCAACATGAGGTCTCTTATTATAGACGAAGCTGGCAGGCTTGGGTCGGTATCTGCACCAAACTCAGTTGGGTGGGCACGGAAAGGAGAAAGCAAGTACTTGGCTGGGCTAGAGAGTTGGAGGACGGATCATCAGACAAAGCTGCCCAGAAGCTGCCCACCCAAAGACGTAGTTCCAACATTTTCCGAAGCGCATAGAGCAACTCTTCTTCGCGAATTCTCTCAAGATATTAGACCAACCACTCGTGAAGCGAGAGGGAGCATACCTTGCGAAAGGAATATTGCCAAGCAGTTGTGTATCGGCAACGTGCGATGCCAAAATGCCTTTGCAACGTCCTATCAGGATAGGGAGACTCAAGGCTGCCAATCTTCGCCGTTCAGGTTCGTGGTCTATGCAACATTAACCGGGGCTTTGTATTCAAGTCATTAACGTACCAGAATTGGAATTACTGCATGTTGCAAATAGCAGGTCAAAGCACCTGAAGACCCAGTGAGCTCAACATATGTAAGTCACAGACGGATATGGAAACACACCAGTATCGGAAACGTTCCCGAGACAAGGCAGTGACTGACACGGGATCTCCATATATCGCATGTTCAGATCTCGAGCGTGCTGCCACAGACTGAGGAGTATGCGGCTGGTTGTCCTGAGTCAAGGGAGACGCATGTGTGTCAGGAACAGGGACGAAATTGAGTTCGTCTTCTGGTCGATGTAGTACACTGCTTGATTCTAGCAGCTGGGGGAGCCGTTGTACTAGGTCAATCGGTAGCTTCTGTTTCCCTAGATATGGGAGGACGTGCTGCTCCATAGCAAGCAGCAACGAGCGATCAAACTGTTCCTCACTGTCTTGTTCGACAAGAGGCATAACGAGACCCGCAGAACTACGTTATATCAGCTCGCTGAAGAATGGTTTCCCAGTCAGTTGCTGACCAATCTGCTGTTAAAGCTCCCTCCAGGCACTGAACAACCTCAGTCCAAATACGGACAAGGGCATCATCCCGCACACCTGCAAATATTGAGTGGGCTGGCAAAAAGTTGTTGATTCTAAAGTCACACACCATCTTTGAGCTGCTCTAGTCCAGAAGAGATTTTTCCAAGGATAGAAATGAAACTGGATGTTGCAGTCTTCCACAATGGAGGATCTGCTCCAATACGGGATGCCGCGGGGCATAAGTACTTTAAGGCCATTGGCAATGCGTCAGCCTGGTCGAAGGTAAGTCTCGTTCCTGCCTCATGCGATGCCGACGTACGGCTATAATATCCTCCACCGCCCCGTCATTATACAGTTGAACGTTGGTCCAATTGGAGGAAAACCGGTCGACAAGCAGCGGCATTGTAGCCTTAGCTACGGCAATATATGTGGCCTTCTTCGCGGCTGTCGTATTGCTGATTGCTGAATTTGGTGGGATAGCAGTGACAGGTGATTTCAAACCATCGGTGAACGGAAGGAAGGCAAGCCGCGTATAATACGCCAGTTCCTTTAGAACAAGGCTGACAGTATCCCCGACGGATTCATCAAGAACTTCAATCACTCTCAGAACTGCAGCCTGGCAAGGAGAAAGAGAATCTACGTCAAGACGGTATTCAGGAGAGTGGCGGTACTCCATAACTCCTCTTGAAATACGGAGCAGAACTCGACAGCGTTCGATATCCCACTGCTTCCCTGAGAGCCCGTAAACGACGCTACCCGTCTCCATAAGGGCGAGTAAGATGTCTTGCGTATAGCCTTTGCGCATGGAGTCAACCGCAACTGCTGATAAGCCTATCTTCGACCAAGTCGTCCACGAATTCTCCCAGAATGACGAGTGATCGGTACTGTCAAGATCTGTGAGAGCATTGGATGCTTTCATGATTCTCTCCAGGGCGCGCATCGCTGCTGCTCCTACAGAATTTGGCTGGCTCAAGACGGCATGTTGAATCAAAGAAAGGAGTTTGGTCCATGCGAGATTGAAGCTCGGCAAGGCGCAGATGGGCTTAGCCAAGAATTCACTTATAACAGCACTCAGAGAGTGCCAGGCAAGGATTCTAGTGTCGTTCCAGCTATTGTCGATTGGCTGCGCGGTAGTTACTGTCACCGCTGTGGGTGGCGATGGCCCTGGCGATACTCCTGACAATGCGGAATCGGTACTCTTCGCTGGCAGGTTCTCAAGAAGAGTAAGCAACACCTTCCACAAGCATTCATCCCACATCGCTTCAGTCATCGTCGTTCCGTACAGCTGCAGAGTTCTCGAAAGAGTCTGGATGGAGCCGTTCCGAGCTTCAGCACGATTGTCATCGCACAAAACCAGAAGCTGATTAAGCAAAAACATCCACAACGTGTCGTATTCTGCGCTCTCTCCAATTCGCTTCGTCTGGATATAATCGGAGAGATTGGACAGAAGGCCACCTCCAGCAGTAAGGGCGATATTCAAGTCTTCCTTCTGTTGTCCGAATGTGACCAGTGTCGTTATGCAGAGACGAAGCTGCTCGACGCTCAATGAGGGTAAATAATCGCTGCAGATCAACTTGAGGGACGAGAAAGCGACTCGAATCAAACTCGCGTCGTTCTTGACGGATGCAGTGATAATTGGAGCTGGACGGCGTTTTGGTGACCCCAATTGCACCACATTGGTTGATTCTTCGAAAGAGTAGAGATCCAGGCGTATGACGCTGGACAGTATCTGGAAGATGGTTTCCCAACCCAGGACCAAAGTATGGCCAGCCTGCTGCAAGATCATGTGCAATGTGTCCAATCCCGCCTTGCGAATTTCGAGCGTTGAGCTGCTGCCATGCAACGAATGCACAGACATCTGGGCAGCCAGGGCGTCTAGTACTTGCCTTTGAACTTGGCCGGTCGAGTCCGTCTCTGGTCCGAAGATACGGGAGAGGAGCAGGAGTGACTCATCTAGGGTGTCTGTTGCTTGCAGTCGTAGGATGGACGGCGTCATCGACCCACTCAATACCATCAACAGGTGTCTGATAACGGCAGCAAGAGTTGCATGGGCTTCAGGAAGGACCAGTCGCTGCAAGTTGAGAGCGACAACAACGCCAAGCTTGTTGATGCCGAAGTCCCCGTTTCGCACAATTTTGGGCATCGCCATCCCACTCGCACGACGCATGACCTTCTCACTCCTCGGGCTCAGTGGAGTGGGAGACGCGGTCGCCGGTGCGCTGGCGAGTTCTTCTTGGCTACCAGTCATCGCATCTTCCACCATTGTACCTTCGAAAGCCCTAGTCTGCATGTCGACCATATCGGCACTGAGCTTGCAGAGGGAGCTAACGAAGGCGGTAAAGCCAGCAATGTCCAATAACTTAGACGCCTCGAATAGTTTTCGAATGACTTGGCTGACTGCATCCTTATCCAGGTCGTTGAGCATGGGGTGGCGCGGCTTTTGCTCTGTGTGCTTCCCTCCTGCAGGTGGCTGCGGAGGTTTGGGGCTGAACGGATCCTGTCCCGTCATCTGCCCACCCTTCGACTGGATCCTAAATCCTAGAACGTGTTCTGCGTTCTGCAGCGTCTCGAAGACGTCATACCAGCTCTTGCCGAGGACAGCGGCGAGGTAGTGCGCACAGGAGACATACACTTTCAGGCAGGCGACATTCCTATCGCCCAGAGTGGGTGGCACGAGGGAAGGAGCGGACGAGGAGGCAGCAAGACTGTCCATACTGAGCATAGGCGTCTTGGGCGTCGGGTGCGGCCCGTCAGTCCAAGCGTCGTAAGCGCTCACCGTCCGAGGCGGGACGGCGAACTTGGATAGGGAGGTAAAGAATGCGTCCCTCGGTGTAGCGAGGCCCAGAACACCGGAGACGTAGATCAGAGCGCGGAAGGCGCCGAGGACGTCCACGAACAGCTCGTCCGAGAGGTTGGTAGACATGAAGAAACTCAGGCTGGCAAGAAGCGCCGGCCAGCCAGACTCGGTCATCGCGTACGATAGGCGGAGCCGCTGGGTTTCGCTGTTATCGGAAGGCAGCTCTTTCATGTCCAATGCGCGGGGTGCCATCCCTTGAAAAAGGGCCGAGTGCTGCCCCTTTCGCTCCATAATAGTGTTGTATATCGGCAGCGTCTGGGTATGCAGCCCTTCGGCAACGGTACACAGCGTTTGGAGTGCGAGGAGGTAGACGTATCCATCAGGGATGACAGGCGCGTCCGTCTTGTCCAGCTGGTCGATACAAGGGACTTTCATCGCGCTGCTCTGGGCGCTCAGTCCTCCTTCTCCACCCATCATACCCCCAACAACACCAGACACGCCAGCCACAGCGGCGGAAGCAACCATACCCGCTACGCCGGCAACGTCGTAGGATGACGGGTTCTCGTGTACTGTTGGCAGGCCGAGTCCGGGGGTACTGAGGTGTGCACCGGAGAGCGCGGCATTCGTTCCGAGGAGGGAAGGTTTGGAGGATGCGAGCCTGGCGAGGGCGGTGATGAGATTGCTGAATACCGGGCTGCGGCCTTCTGATGTGCGCAAGTCGTAGAGCTCGAATAGGGATGCTAGGAGATCCGGGTGTGCACAAAGCCCACGTAGGACTTCGGCGCTCAGGACGCGTACCCAAGTAGGGCGCTCTTTTTCCCCATTTATGTTGTCCCCGCTGATGGACTTGGTGAGCACGGAGAGGAAGACTTCTGCTTCGGCGCTGAGGTCGCGCGTGAATTGGCGCAAGAAGAGGAAGACGACCCGTACTGAGCGGAGCATGAGTGGGAAGTGCGGACGGTCGGAGAGTGCTTTGAGTAGGAAGGGACAGAGCTGACGTTCCAGAAGCGCTGTCAGCTCTGAGTGGGTGCGGAAGAGTTGGTGATGATTTGTCAAGACGGACTCGATGAGCTCGAGCGTGAACGTTTTGCTTAGGGAGGTGAGATGAAGGAAGTACGCTTTTTGCGAATTGACGAGCAGAAGCAGGTCTGAGAAGATCAAGTAGGCGTCGCGCGCAAAAGGTCGAAGGGGGATGTTTGTTCCATCGGGGAGTTGAACTGACTTGACTGCTCAAAAGATGAGTGGAACGTATAACTTTGGATGGAAGACGTACATGCTGCTTCGGCTGAGCCATTTTGATCCTCATCCGCCACCTTATCGAAGACGAGGATGACGAGCTGTCTGAGCGTCGCAGCCGCCGTACTGCTGACCACAGCAGCCTTGCTCTCGTGTAGCTTGAAGCATGCCAGGAGTGCTTCGGCCAACAACTCCCCGCTGACATCGGAGAATGCCGTCAGCAAACTGAGCAGCGTCTGCAGCACTTTCAGTTGGATGTCTACACCGCCTGTCAGACAGTCGGTCGACAGGGTGGAGATTATCCTAGGCGCAAAGGAGGGTGAGATGAGGCGGGATGCGACGAGTCGCTGAAGGGTACCGAGAGCGATAGATGCAAGCTTAGAGTTCCGAGTCTGACATGAAAGGAATACAGGCTGGAGAAGTGTGTCGGATTTCTTATCCCCCTTGAGGAGGGAAGCTGCTGCTTCATCTGGAGAAGAGCGGAGAACGGCGAGAGATTGTTCAGCGGCCTGGGATGATATTAGCTTTGCCCCTGCATGACGAGGGCGTCGAACGCACATCACGAACTTCTGGATGCTTCCTCCTTGATTCTGTGGAAATCGACTATGTTTCCTTCAGAGTTTATTCACTTGTTTGCTTAGCACACTCACCTGTAAATCAGTCGAGAGCATTCCTAGAGCGCTCATGGCTGCCCTTCTCTGCAGTGTAGTTCACAAGAGAAAGAAAGTAAGCCACTGGAAAGCACAGACAAGTCCCGGTTCTTACCCGGGTCGTCTGGTTAGGGGTCCTTTGCAGCGGCAATAAGGGTGGTTCCACCCCACCTGAATTAGAATGCTGTGCCAGGGTTGCACCTACTCTGTGATCAGATGGTTATACCTAGGTATATATCAGTATAGCCCTGTGTGTATCAGTATTCTTTTGTATTAAGCAGTACTAGGTTAGCCCAACTCGCTTTGCTCATTGTTGTATATGAAAGAATTTGATCCCGCTCTTAATCCGCTTAATAAGCAAGTTTTCTGCAATCACTTGTGTATCATATTTACTCTGTAACTGTGTACCCATTTCTTCCTTTCCCCCCCCCCCCCTTCTCCCCCACTTCTCTCCCCCTTCTCCCCCTGCTTCTCCCCCTGCTTCTCCCCTGCTTCTCCCCTGCTTCTGTCAGGGCACACCATCAAGTGGAGGCCAAACGCCAAGGTTTCAGGCAAAGCTGAAACCTATTGGGGTGACCTGACTGCCAAACAACCACTAATCATCCAAAAGGCTGACATCAGACCTCTCAGTGGTCCTTGCATGCCTGCTTCGGGATCTCTTGTGGTATCAGCCATGTCAGCCACATGGAGTAGTGAGGGTGGTATGGGAGAGGGTCAATAATCCTGATACATCAACAATCAGCCATGATCAGCATGTTGCATGAGTCAGTGCAGGAGAATTGGAAATGGTAGTAAGGGGGGGGTGCTGTAGTCAACCAGTATTGAGGTCAAACCACAAGGTATCAGAAGTTGTAGATGACCAATCATGTCAACATTGGACTCAGGCAGGACAAAGCTGTGCCTTTGGAAGTCAGTGGAGGTATCGCATGTGTATTGGTGGGAGGGGATGGGATCTCAATGGTAACCCTTCATTGATCAGGCAGAATCGAGGGGATGTCAGATGGGGAGGAGTCCAGAGTTGCCTGTCACCTAGACTTGGGCAGCATAATGCAATGCCAGCAGAATTGGTATGGACATTGGGCAATTAGGGTGAGCCATTGGGGGTGTAGTCAGGGGTTTGGTTACTTGTAGATGAGAACCTTGCTGAAAAAAGGGGTGTCAGGCTTGCCTCATGAGCTTTCATAGAGATTGAGCACAGGTCAGACCTCTCAGCTCCAGGAGAGTGGCCTATCAGCAGAGACTTTGGATACATCAGCACCAGTTGTCTGGAAGTTGACAGTCTTGGCTGGAGCACCAGCCTTCAGAGGGTACAACAAAGAGTCGGGGTGTGTCACCAGGTTATTGAGTACCTTGGTCTTACTACCTGAGGTCAATCGACATGATTGTGGACAGTTCACCTCCTTTGAGGGAGATTGGTGTTTCAGGTCATACTAGATGGTGGGATTCCTGAGAGACCAAATCTGAGGCTTCTGTGCCCTCAGACCAGTGCCTACATATACATGCCAAAGGGAACAAAAGGAAGCAATAGACTGTGGCTGAGAAACTGTACTTGTCCATCTTACCTCAGGGCAGACCTTGTGACTGAAGGTCTCCCAATCATGGGCAAAGTCTCCCAATCTCCACACTAGGGTTCACCTTTACTTCTCAATTGTCAGCCAAAGCCTGGCCAAAACATGCTTCAAGGTCCAATCTGATCCCAATCACCCATACTTGAGTCATAGGCACTTTGAGTAAGCAGCCAAAGTTGCCAAAAGGTGGCTACTTGTCTTTGACCTGTCAAAGGCCTTGCTGGGGTCCATGACCAAGGCCTATGAATAGTCAAACATGATTGATAGGCTGGCCCAAAGGGCATCCAAACTCTGACCCCCTATGCTGTAGGCCCCAAAGTCCTTTGGGTGTCCTAGCAACTTGATGAAGGGGTCAAAACTCTAGTCAACATAACTGACAGTCTTGAGCAAATGTGCAACTTGAGTGTTCAGTCCTTGCAAAAGGTGAATGATCACCAATAGCCTTGCCATCTATCCCAGATGGAGAGAGAGGCCTGTCAGAAGGGGCTTCTCCTAGTTAATAGCCTTGACTGAGGGGTTGAATGTGTCGAAATGGTGACATTCAGGCCAAATTGCAGTTTGCATAGGAGTTTGCAGAGGTTGTACCCTGACAGCTTCTCCCCTGCTTCTCCCCTGCTTCTTCTCCTTCTCTTCTCCCCCCTATCTTCTTTCCTGCTGTCAGGGGACACCCAATTTCAACCCCCACTGTCAACTCATGTTCAATCCCATTTCAACCAAATCACACATCTTGAACTCCTGAATTCTTCAAAACCTTCAAAACACCTGACCCCCCCCCCCAATCTGCATGCCAAAAGCCTCTGAAAGAATCATTGGTAGCTGTACAGTTCCCAAGCCACTTTCTTTGCTTCCACATTAATTCCACCCCTCTAGTATATACAACCCTGTCTCTGCTCATTGCAATTCCCCTTTAGATCTGATCTGTTCAAGAAATGCCAATAATCAAGCATTTCTAGTCATCACTTTATGTAACTTTGATAGCTCTCAGTTGCTCTTAGATACCTTTTGACTGTCAGGGCACACTGCCAGATATTGAAAGTATCCTCAAATCAGGAGCCCAATAAAAGCAAGAAGCAGCAAGGAGAGCACAAAAGCTTGAGTTGTGGTCAACAGTAGGGCCAATGTATTGAATCAGCCCAAAATGCCTTTAGTCACAAGAGATGTGCAGTGGAGTCACAAACAGTCCGAGGGGGTCAAAGGCTAGGTTTGAACACCAATCAGAGAGTCAAAGAGGTTCGGTGAGAGTTCAATCTAGGTTCATCACTATCTGACAGTGGAATTCCTGAGAGATCAGCTCTAAGGGACATAAGGCTCCTAGAGCTGGTATATATACATGTAGGAAAAATGGAAGTATAATGGAATCAAAAGAGTAGCTGTGGGACTGTACAGTTTACCATTGTTTAGGGTGGTGCTTTGAAGAAGTTGAGTGGTTTCGCTTCAGGGTCAGCAGATTTGGGCTATCCTGAGGCTGAAGTAAGCCTTTCAGTGTTGATTGTATCAACTTTACACTGAAACTGGGCAAACCCTGACATTGACTCTTTTTTTAACTTCAAAACCTCTGCTTTGATCTTAATCAAACTCTGAAACCCACTGACTTTCTGGACTATTTGTTGATTCTCCCAAATCTTCTCTCAATCTCTTCATATCTCTGTTTGGAGCCCTTGATTGTTAGCCTTGCTGGATCATGTTGCCCTCATACCTGCCCACTTTCTTTCTTGTCCTTCCTCTATTCCATTCCCTTCTCTCCCCTTTCTTCCCTACCTTCTCTTACTTGTCAGGGAATGCATTGTTTTGGGGTCTTGTACCCCTTATCACATGTTCTATCCCTGCTTCTCCTCACTTCCAGGCCTTCTCAAAGTGATCCATGAGGCCTGTGTAGGGTTGCATCATGGGTTGTGGCATGGTGTTAGGGCAACACAGGCTGACTAAGTCTGCTCACCTAAGAGTGCCAAGAGTCTAAGCAGGGCAACAAGGAAGTGGAGTAGACCTGATGACTAAGACCTATCTACAGTATAGGTATCTGTGGATGATCCTAAGAGACCAAGTCTGAAGAGACAGTCCCAGGCAGAGTAGGCCTTATATTTAT